TCTCTAGTCCTAATGAAGAATCCGACCCGGGGCTTTGGTCAGCTTGTCCTGCAGGCTTCCCTAGCACCTGCACTAAGTGACCCTTGGTGTGGCTCCTGCAACCTGTGGTGCCCTGAAGCTGCAGGGGTGGGGTGGAGAGTGGAGGGGACACTTCCACAGGCCCTGGAGGGCTGCCACATGGAGACAGGAGCACTGTGGACAGCCATGAGCCTCTGGTCCCAGCTCTCCGCACGCAGCATTCTGCAGCTGGACACCTTTCGTGCCCATCCTTACTGGCCACTCACCCAGAGACAGGACTGGGTCTGGCCTGTGCGCCTTTCCCCTGTTCTCCTTCCCTGGTCCCGGCCGCTCCTCCAGCCTCGTTCCCCTTCCTCCTCCCATCTCCTTTCTGTTGCTGGACGTTCCACCTGCCTTGCCCAGACCCTGTTCTGAAGTGAGTACCTGAAAGTTGGGTGTCTTGCCTYGCCTTCCGGAAGGAGTGGGAAGTGCTCCAGATGCGCACCGTCTGTGGGAAGGAGGCCCACACTGGGCCATCATTTTCCCACCAGGGCAGCTTCCTCCTCTGAGCGAGTCACAGATGGTATTTGAGATTTTCAAGACAGCGAGCCAGACAGGGATGTTTTAAATTAATAAGTAAACCAGGACCATCACAACTACGTCATCCCGCCATGAACGAGTGGCTCTGTCCACACACGTGCTCAGCCACTTGAATGTCTCTTGCTGCACCTGAAACCTCATTGGACATTGTTTGAATGGACAAARGAGCACAGGGATCAGTAAGCAAAATTTCTCAAAGCCAGGGCCAGGCCTTGCTCATCTCTCCAGTTCAGACCTACTGTGGCACCAGTGGCCGCCGACCATGAGGGTATAAAATGGYGCCAGGCTCCTGTGCTTCTGACGTTTGATGTTCTACTGTTAAACTCAGCCCGGGTTGTCRTATGCCAAGCTTTGATCAAAGCAGTTGACTCATCCTGGTTCATCCTCGCTTTTGTTCTCTTCCTTAACCCCAGTCTCTGGGCTGCTGGCCTCCACCACTGAGAAGCCAGGTCTTTTGTGTTGTTTCAGAYTCACTCCTTACTTCTGAGCCACAGCTGCCCTCTGAGGACACAGAGATGCCAACTGCCCCTTCTGGTCACTACTCACTGTGCAGGTGTAGAGATGTGACACTGAGCTCCTGAAAATAGGAACAATTGTACTATTTTATTAAACTAAAAACATATTCAAAAATAAAATAAAAAATAACTCGCACTCTATGGTGCTTACTTTGTGCCAAAACAGCAGAAACAAAATACTCTCTGTAGCCTACAGCCCTGATCTAATCACTGCCTTCCCCGGCCTTAGTGTCTTTTCTAGTTTGGATTTGAAGGGGACCAGAATGTGCCCCGCAGAACATGCCACTTTAGCATGAGGACTATTTACRGCTGAAGGCAATTGAGAAAGAGCAGATGCTGGAAGAATTCTCTGCCTAAAACAAGGTACAAACCTCCCTGTGTGGAGGTGACACAGGCCTTCCTGTGTGGAGGTGTCCCTCTCCCACATGCCAGGAACTTGGTCCCYGGAGGTGGCTCTGACATAACCGTGTGCCACACCCTTATCTACCTCATATCTCCTAGCAATATGCCCCCCTGGGAGCCCACCCTCCTGCCCTGCTGTCTCTGTAYGGCCACTTCTTCACAAATTTATTGCCCTTTGTCAAAATGGACGGACGCCACCACATTTAACCACTTCTTTGGGGTTTGCACTTTTTTTCTCTGAAGACCCTCTGCACAAAGAACTATCAATAAAATGTGCATGCCTTTTCTCTTATTAATCTATTGTCAGTTCGATTTGAAGGCCCCAGTTATAAACATTAGAGGAAGGAGGAAGATTTTCTTCCTTATCTGCAGATTCTGGGACTAACTCCGAAGTGAGAATTCTCACTCTCTTTCCACACCAGAGCTTTCTACCTGGTTCGTTTTGTTGCCGAAAGCCCTGTCCCGAGGCCAATCCAATAATGAGGACATGGTTTTGAGAAAAAGGAAAAGAGGTTTATGGCTTTGGTAGCAAAGGACAGGGGACTCCTGTCCCAAAGGCTGTGATTCTGCCATCCTCAGGAACAGGGGATTTTATAGAGGTGATTCAGAGAAAAGGAGCTCAGGGAGGAGAGATGGGGAGGAGAAGGTCAGGGAGGAGAGATGGGGAGGAGAAGGTCAGGGGAAAGATCAGAGAAGAGGGGGTCAGGAAAATGGTTAGGGAAACAAGATCAGGGAGGAGAAGGCGGGGAGAAGGTGATTAGGGCAAAGAGGATCGGGAAGGAGGCTAGGGAAAAGATCATGCAGAAGAAGGTCAAAGAAGGTTGGGAAAAAGAAAAAATATGTAAGTTTCAAAGCCACAAGGGATACAGTCAAAGCATCAAGTGACCCCGGTCACAGTTGGCCACCATCGACTCGTGTGCCTCAGTGGCTCTCTGCCTCTCACTGGGTTGAGGCACTGGAGATGCAGAATTGAAGGAGAAATGGCCCCTGCCCTTGAGGACTGGAGGGAGAAGTGACACAGACAAATATGTGACTCAGGGGAGGGCAGCAGGTCTACTCCCAGGAGTCAGGGAGGATGAGGGCTGGGGGGAGGGGGGCTCCTAGACTGAGCCTGACCCGAGTAGATAGTTCTCAGGTTGATAGAGATGGGGGAGGGGAGCCTTCCAGGCAGAGGGAGTCACGTGAGCAACAGCTTGAAGTGCCCGAATCTGGRGACCTGCAGATAGCTCCAGGTCCCTTTATTCCTTCAGTGTAGCCCGGGCCTGGGTCAGGCCCTTGGGTGGCTCCTGTCACCTCCTAGGGCTTTTACTAACATGCAGACATTGACTCCAATACCCAGCCTTGGTGTGAGACTGGAGAATCCTGGCGTGGACAGCTGTATCAGCACTGTAGAAGTGGTTCCTTCCTATCATTAGTGTATTTTTTACATTTTGCCCACTTTGGGACATTCGTATGGATATAATCGATACGTCTTGGAAATCCACTCATCTGGATGCACTTATCCGCAGCTTGCTGGTTTCTAGGTCAACACACTGCATGTTTCCCTTGTCTCTCTAAGKTCATTGTGAACTCTGAAGAGCAAGGACCGTGGTGTCTATTTCCCRCTGTCACGGAGTTCTTGGTGGCATTTGTATTTGTTCTGAGGTTCTTAGCTACGGTTTAAGAGGTCTAAACCGGAGAAGAGGAGACTGGAGGCTGTTGAGATTTTGCCTGGAGCCTGGTGACTAATCAGTGTCCATCCCCCTGAGGGGAGAGGCACCCTCCACACACCTGCCAGGCCACAGGCCACAAAGTGCGCTCTAGTTAGCCACATCTGCTGTGGGATCCCAAGAGAGTTGGTCCAGATCCAGAGACTCCAGGGTCTCATCTGTAAAACGGGATGGTGACGTCCACTCTGTGACAGTGTAACTACAAATGATAGAACCCACTCACRCCTCTCACCTCAACTACACCACCTGAGCTCTCTGCCATCTCCTGGTTCCCTACATTGGGGCCCATTTTTGATGTCTATGCAATTAACTGCAGCCCTTGACCAGACACACCATTTGGGTGCAAGTCGGGGCAGGGAGTGGTCAGAGAAAAGCAGGGGAGATGCAGAGACAGGGGCAGCTCTGGCTGTCGGCCTCAGAATCTCTCAACGGGCCCTGAGTCTCCCTGGGGCCAGACAGTCCCTCCTCCCGTGTGCACTGCAGGGAGCTGGTCCTTCCTGGTCCCTGGGCAGCAAGGCATTGGGTSCCAGTGACAAGCCTTTGTGCAACTCTGACACCCACACTGTCTAGCTCTCCTGAGGATGGCTCCAGCCTGGTGGAGAGCCACTGTGGTGCCGCGTCTTTGGGAACTCCCAGCCACCTGCTCAGGAGGGACCCGGTGCTCAGTTCGCCCTCAGTGGCCAGTTCTGTCCTCTGAGATGACGGTTCTCACTGATGGGCTTCTCCAGCCCCATTATCCACTCTCTTCCAGCAGAAGAGGGCACAGCTGGGGGAGGAGGGCACAGGTTCTTGGCTTGGGACTGGGGGTGGCACTGGGGCACTCTTTTCAAAACCATGCAATAAATAACGCTCCAGAAATAACCCGGGGTCAACAGCCCTCTCTGTCATCTATTTGCTCTCTGAGCTTCTGCGCCCCCTGAGAGACCCTGGGAAATCCCAGCTRAAGTCCCCATATCTCAGAGATCTGGGCCCAGCGCACAGGGCCGGACTTGGGGCAGCTGGGTACGGTGCAGAGGCCCCAGCGCCACAGGAAGGGGCCGTGGCCACCCCTCCCTTGGGGAGGAACTGCTTTTTCAGTTATGTTTTCTCTTTCTCTTCTATTGATAAAGTCTGAACTATCCTGCCAAGTGAATATTGTGAAATGGCAGTTGTCTCACCAAAACCACTTTATCTGCCACCGGCCGTAGATGTAATCGGGACCATGAGAGCCTGGATCTGTACTGAATTTGGCTTCGACAATGCAAAGTTTCCAGTTCTCAATTGCAAAAGGATTGCAAAACAGAAAAAGCAAGGATTACTGAGAAAAAGTAAAGCTCCCGTCCTCCCAGGCCTGCTCTGGGGTGTAGTGGAGCAGCTGGCTTAACTTTCAGATAAATTGTCATTGAAGAAAAACCAAGATAGGAGAAACGTGAACCCCCTCTTTCAACACAGTCCATTGTGTTCAAAGTCATAAGCAAGAGAGTTAAGAGCCCACCTTCCTTTCTAAGAAAATATGAAAGTTAGTGCTTTGAAATAGAATTCATGGCTCTGGGACTTTGAGTGATATCTGCATTCACATCCAGCTGGATYTGCAGCTCCTTCCAAACAGTTCTTTCTTCTCAGCGGTGAGAATTACCTCSTCTGGAATTCCCTCTTCAAAAGGCGCTGGAGCCCATTCACCTATGAATGAATCTGCARCCCCAGGCTGATGCGGAAGGGCCCTCCCCTCCTGGGCAGCAGCTGAGAAGGAAGTCACCCCAGCACTGTGGCCTGACAGCCCGGGAGCACAGACCTGCCGCCCACCATCTCCCCAAGATGCAGTTTCTTGATGTGGAGGAGCCTCTGGCTGATGAAGAGGATGACGTTTTTGGTGAAGGTAAAGGATCTTTCTGGCAGGAGCCGTTCTGATCTGCTTTGCCTTGTTTCGACACCAAGGAAAACTTCTGCGGTACTTTGAAATGATGAAGCGAAGCTTTCTGAGGGAGATAGTTGTGGCAGATATCAACTTGGGCACCGAGGCACCTGGGCAAGGTTGGGCAGGGTTGCCAAGCGGTTCCTCCAAATGTTTYTTATAAAATCTTGATGGATACAGGTTTGCTTTAGGTCAGAAAACAGTATTGAATCTTTCCGCTGGTCTCTCCTCTGCACTGTGGTGTCTGACGCCTTGGGGGAAGCTGTCCCCAGCTTGCTTTCACAGCCAGGCTGCCGGTGGCTGCAGTCTGTGGGCTAAAGTCCGCGTCTGTGCCAGGATTGGTTCTCCCGGGTGCTGTGTAGTTTGGACCTGGCTCTCCTCCTCGGGCAGCACTGGACACCCACGGGCAGCGCCTAGTTTTACACTCTCATTTGACAGCTCTTCCGTAAATCGTCTGTGCAGTGGGAAGTTTGCTCTTAGTCTAAGTGGCTCATCTAGTGATCTACAGAGGTTTTATGCCAGCACTTTCTAGGAGATGGGCCTTAGGCAAGAGCTTTTCTAGAATTTGGACCTGCCTAAATAAATAGGAATCTGGACCCAGGGATCTTGAGATTTTGATTATTTCCCATAAAAAAAAAAAAAAAAAAAACATGTTCAGTGATTTTTTAAAAAAGATTTCTATCAAGTAAGTTTTTCAAAGTGAGACTTTTTTGATGATTAGCCAAGTAATACAAGTTCACGGAGGAAAAATCAGAGAGCATTGCCCAGTAAGAATGCCCCATCATCTAGTCATCTGGGTTGACAGCTGTCAGGGTTGGTTTCTGTCTTTCTTATTTTTTTCCAACCACAGAAATAACTAAGATGATAATTTGGGTTTTCATCACCACTTACACCCATTTGGGGAATGGCTACCTGAGCTTCGCTGCTGTGGCGTCACCCTGGTGACTGGCATCGCGAGCCACCCGCGAGGTTGAATCCTAGGCCCCTTCCTTGGCTCTCACTTCTCCCTGAGGGTGTCTTCTCTGCTGATTTCTGCAGAGATGCTCACGCTCTTTGCAATCTTACAAACGTGCACCAACAGGAAGATAAGCCTGGGCTGGATGATGTGGTAATTGTTTGTCCACTTTTCACACCAGGAAGGGTTTTCCAGAATGCCCAGCCCATTTCTTTCCCAAGAATTTTCCTTTGGGGGCTGATGACAGTGTTGAAGAGCGCCAGGTCTAGACTGGGGGTTCCACTCTGGATGGAGTGGTGGGGGTCCTTCCTAAAGGGAGCAGGGCTTGATGAATTGCAGGACCCCTCTCCACAGCCTGCGTGAGTGCCAGGTGACTGTAACCTCGGCAGCCCTGCCGAGGCTCAAGTCGGGGGCCAGAGGAGATCCAGCCTGAGTTCCGTTTCTGCCTGGTGTTGCCTGTGCCTGCCTGGCCTTCTCCACGGGGAGCTGGGACAGAGAGAGCTATCAGGTTGCCCGGCTTCTCTTTTTAGCAGATTCCGGATGTTTGCATTGCTCTTGAGGGTGGTGTGGTTGGCCCTGTCCAAACAGATCATCTCATTTGCCTTAATCCTCGTAGATTAGAGAGAGAATCCTTGCAAGTTCAGTGCATTGATCTTCAGTTTCCAGAGTCAGGGCTGGTGTCTGGAAGCTTGGCCAGCTGGTGCCTCCCTCTAACCAAGCTCTGTGCCAGGAAATATCATGAGCACTGCAGTTGCCAGGTCTGGGCTTTGCCCATTACCTCACTCTGTGACCTTAAGCAGGTTGCTTAATCTCTCCGTGCCTTAATTTCTGTCTCATAAAGCAGATCGCACACGTCATGGGGCTGTGTGCAGATTAAATGCTATTATAGGGAAAGCATTTAGAACAGTACCTACACATGGAAGTACTCAATAGATGCTAATTCCCTACATTTCAAGGAAGAACATCAGATTTTTTTCACATGTCTGGTTAGTAGATTCAAAGCAGGGTTCATTTACATCAATTTGTAGGCAACGTTTCAGAGTTTAATGGGGAGGAAACGTTCTTGGAGTAGTCATCTCCATTCTGCMCGGCAGCCAGGCTCCTGCTTCGACGTAGCTGTAGGGCCTTGGGCAGGTCTTCATTCTCTCGAGCCTTGTTCATCTTAAATCAGAGGGTCGATTGCATTCTCTGAGATCTCACTTCTTAAAAACCTCAGAATTCTACCTAATCTTCTCTGCATGGTGAYGAGTCTACCTAGACCTCGTGCCTTGTTCTAGGTCTCACCTAGGGGACTGGCTCACTTTCCGTCCTATGGAAGCAGAAGGCTTTCCACAGGCTGAGTTTCCTCTAAGTAAAGAAAGGACAAGGATATGCCCTTGCCACTAACAGATTTTCCTAAAGGAACATAAGTTTAGAATTTACGTCCATTTAGTCGAATATATATATATCCACACACTCATTTAGATATACAGACCCCGTAACGACAGGGGGTTCAGGGGTGGGAGAGGTGCTGATGAGTCATACTCATGATGTTTTCTAAACTGCCTTTCTGATCCTGTTTGCTTCAGCTATTATTTTCTGTGGTTAAAGAAAATGTTAAGTTTACAGATCGAGGAAGCACTGGTGTGCAACTCTGCTCTTTTTCCACAGCAGGTTGCATAGGAAGAGAGAGAGAAAGAAAAACAGTCTCCACCCACACACCACACCACAACCCCAGTATTTATTTCTCTCTCTCTCTCTCTCTCTCTCTCTCTCTCTCTCTCTCTCTCACACACACACACACACACACACAGCCCTCAGTTTGCTTTCTAAACACCACCAATGTCATTATGTCATTTAGAAATAGTGACTCTTGGGTAGATGTGATCTTTCTTGGGAGCTGATTGATTTGATTATCGGGATATTCAAAAAACGGTAATTAGATTGAGAGGCTCTTTCCCCTTGGCTGCCTCAAACTTATCAAATTCAAGGGCTTTATCTGTTTCGGCACTGTGTGGTCCTGACAGCCAGCCTGGTGAACTTAGAAGTAGCCGGACGAGTGATCGTGGTGATGGTGACAGTGACAACCATGGAGAGGGTGGAGACTGAAGAGAGAACACAGGGCCACACACAGGGGAGCCCTGAGCCAGCTCAGAGCTAGCAGAATTCATGTGGGGGAGGAAAACTCTCCAGGCTCTGGTCGGTCAGCATCTCCCTGCTGAATTTACTCCTGAGCGCAAGTTAGAGCTGCAGTGGCCTCTGGAGAAGGTCAGACCTCGCTGCCTCCCCCTGGAGCCTGCTCAGGGGCCTGCTGTCCCGGGGGGCCATGATCAGAGCACAAGACACATGTGCAAAGCTCACAGCAGAGGTACAAAGTCTTCTCTGGCACTTGTTCCCTGCCTGTTAGGATCTCCTTCTTGGCCACGTGGAACTGCGTCTTGTAATGTGCCTGGGGCTGGCTCAGCACACCACAGCAGAGCAGAATGCTCCCCGCCTGCTGGGTAACAGTGTCCGGGAAAGTCAGTTCCTCTCCCCAGCGAAGGCAGAGCCTCCAGGCAGACATGAGTGGCAAGGGGAAGTCCACTGGACCACGGGCTGCTGGCAGCTCTTGAAGAGACCCGCAGGAGGGCTGGGACAAGGCCACCCACTGGAACCAGTCCCTCATGTTTCCCCAGGCTGCCCGTCCGACTCTTCCTCTTTCAAAGGGAACTAAGAGTGAGCAATAGGATTGCAAAATGAGTGTCAAGAAAATCATTTCCTGCAGTTAGGATACCTGCCCACTTTTTATGGACTGTTTAGGAAAACAAGGTAGTTCTATTGTTTTTATTTGTGTTTTTATAAATAGATAAACAACTACACAATCTGTTGAAATCTGATATATTTTGATACTGCATACTGAATTACATTTGCCCCTTCCAAAACTGGAAGAAAGAGAGAGAGAGAAAAGAGATTCAGGTGTGATAGCGCATGCCTGTAATCTCAGCAATTCAGGCGGCTGAGGCAGGAGGATTACAAATTCAAGGCCAGCCTTAGCAAGTTAGAGAGGCCCTGAGCAACTGAGTGAGACCCTGTCTCAAAATAAAGAATAAAAAAGGGCTGGGGATGTGGCTCCGTGGTTAAGTGCACCTGGGCTCAATCCCCCCCAAAAAGCAGGAGGCAATGAAGGAAGGAAGGAGCTTTAGTCGGTTATTTCACTGCTGTGGCTAAAGGATCTGAGCAGAGCAACTGGAGAGGAGGAAGAGTTTATTTGAGGGCTCAGAGTTTCAGAGGTCTTAGTCCAGAGAAGGCCGACTCCATTCCTTTGGGCTCGAGGTGAGGCTGAACACCATGGTGGAGGAGTGTGGCAGAGGGAGGCAGCTGACATCACCAGGAAGCAGACAGACGCCAGCTCCAGGTACAGATGTGCACACCCAAGCCACGCCCCCAGKGAATCACCTCCTCCAGCCACACCCCCCTGCCGCCAGCCACCACTCAGTGACTCCCATCAGGGGCTACTTCACTGGCTGGGTTAAGGCAGTCAACCATTTCTCCTCTGAACCTTCTTGCATTGTCTCACTCGTGAGCTTTTGGGGAACACCACATATCCAAGCCATAACAGAAGAAAAATTAAAATATAGGTATAAAACCAGTAAATTGTGCAAGTGTAGATGGATTGTCGACACCTACATGGAAAAAGTAAGAGAAATAGAACATGAAAGTGTGGGAGCCTTGGGTRGAACATGTTGGAGCTGTCTGTTTGATCGTGCTACATTTCACGTCACGTGGACAAATACCATCGTGGTTATTTAACTATGTCGAATCTTTCTCAAGGAATATCTGGGGTCCCAAGTGGACTCAGTCATGGCACTGGAGAAAAGACGGGGCGAGGTTGTCCTAGTTTCTTGGGCTGAAAACAATTGATCACTCTTTGCTTTCATGACTGGCCAAGATTGATGGATGCATCTCCACCCTGGGGCTCCTGGATACCCTCTGTGTCCCGGGATCCGTAGCACACAGACCTCCCCACAGTAATTCTTGCCTGCCTGACTGC